ACTCTACATAACAAGTTTGGAGGCCTGTGAGAAGGCTTAGTGGGGGAAAGTGATTATGCCAAGCTTGGCCATCTGGTTTAGATCCCTGGAACCCATGGTGGAAGGGAAGAACCAAATCTTTCAAGTTTTCTTCTGACTTTGCATCATGGCATATGCATACCCACATATAAAATAATAATAAATACATAAGAAAAGTCTGTTAACTCTTGAAGTAGATTATTATTTCTAGAATAAAGTACCATGAGGACTTATTTGAAATTCCCTTCCTTCCATATTAATTTATTTATTCTGAGGTCAAACTAGAATTCTATTTGTGTTAGTGTGTGCCCCCTATGTGGATATCAGGGGATAAGCTGACATTGGGTATCTCTATTACTCTTTGTGTTATTTTTTGAAGTGAAGTCTCTCAATGAATCTGGAGCTCTCTAATTGGCTAGACTGGCTGGCCAGTGAGCCCCCAGATCCTCTTGTTATTGGCTCTCAGTGCTGAGATTATGGGTGTGTCTTAGTCACTGTTCTATTGCTGTGAAAAGACACCATGACTAAAACAACTCTTATAAAAGGAAACATTTAATTGGGGGCTTACTTACAATTTCAGAGGTTAGTCTATTATCATCATTGTAGGAATCATGGTAGTTTGCTGGCAGACCTGATGCTGGAGAAGTAGCTGAGGGTTCTATATCCTGACCCAGAGAGAGAGAGAGAGAAAGAGAGAGAAAGAGGGGGGGACTGGCCTTGACATGGGCTTTTGAAACCTCAAAACTCACCCCTAATGACACTTCCTCCAACAAAGCCATACCTCCTAATCCTTCTAATCTCTTCAAATAGTGCCACCTCTCCTTGATGACTAAGCATTCAAATATAGGAGCCTATGGGGGTTACTCTTACTTACCAAACTTGACTTTTTAAAAAAACATGGGTGCTGAAGATCTGACCTCAGATCCTCATAGTACTTTACTTGTTAAAGCCATGTCTCCAGCCCATCAAATCATAATTTTGCCAGTGCATATGACAGACACTGTCTAAAGGACATAACCAAATACAAAACTAGGAGAAATATAGGTTCTGGTATCATAATCCAGGGTCCCTTTAATAGGGGTGCTAACCCCATTGGGGTCTCTACTTTTGTGATTCAGTTACCTCCCAGAGGCTCTGCTTCCTAAGTCCACATATTAGGAAGTGGGATTTCAGCATATGATTTAAGAGATGAAGGTATCCAAACATTCAATCCATATTTCATTACATGTTGATAGCTTTAACATGTGTGAAAATTTTAAATGTTAAAAAGAAAGTATGGGGCTGGAGAGATGGCTCAGAGGTTAAGAGCACTGGCAGCTCTTCCAAAGGTCCTGTGTTCAATTCCTAGCAACCACATGGTGGCTCACAACCATCTGTAATGAGATCTGGTGCCCTCTTCTGACGTATAGAAATATATGCAGACAGAACATTGTATACATGATAAATAAATAAATCTTTTTAAAAAGAAAAATAAAATAAAAAAGAAGGTATGATCACAAAACAGGTCATTTGAAAAAATGTCAGATTATCTAAAATGACAGTGAGTAACCATGATAACATTTAAACCTGTTTCTATTGCTGTGACGAAACACCATGACTTCTTTGGGAAGGAAAGGGTTTATTTGGCTTACACTGCCACAGCACTATTCATCATCAAAGGAAGCCAGGACAGGAACTCAAACAGGGCAGGAACCTGGAGGCAGGAGTGGATGCACAGACCACGGAGGAGTGCTGCTAACTGGCTTGCTCAGCCTGCTTTCTTAGAGAACCCAGGATAAGCACCACTCACAATGGGCTGGGCCTTCCCCCATCATCAACAATTAAGAAAATGTCCCACAGGATTGCCTACAGCCTGATCTTATGGAGGTACTTTCTCTTCTTTCTTTCTCCCCCACCCCCTTTCTTGTTTGTTTGTTTTGTTTTGTTTTGTTTTTTGAGACAGGGTTTCTGTGTGTAGCCTTGGCTGACCTGGAATTTAATTAGTAGATCAGGCTGGCCATGAACTCACAGAGATCTGCCTGCTTCTGCCTCCCAAGTGCTAGGATGAAAGATGTGTGCTGTACCCAGCATGAAGGCATTTTCTTAGTTGAGGTTCCCTCTTCTCAAATGACTTTAGCTGATGTCAAGTTGACATAAAACTATCCAGCACAATATTACTCTTTATTTGCATACAATAAATACTCTTTATTTGCATTAATTCAAATCTCATGAACCTCACCACAACCCTGAGTAGCAATTCTGTGTATAGAGTAATGTGGTGTCTATTATTTCTATTTTCTAGTTGTGAAATAGATTTTAAAGTTTAAATTTTCTTGTGTTTCACAGTCCCAGGTATGAATGATTGGTGAGAGAGACCAATATTAAGAATAATTTTCAAGCTTACATTTTGACTGCTTAATATTTTAAGTACATTACATGCTTATTTAACTTCATATTTTTAATCTAGTGTGCATTGTACTCTACCTCTCATTCAAGTGGGAGAAGATAACCTCCACAATTCCCTGGAAATCATGTTTTCAGAGATGGACACAAAAAACTGAGAAGGATCATAATCCTATCCTTCTACCTCAAAGAATGTGGCGTCCCTCCCTTAGCAACCTTTGATTGTCTTCTTCCAGTGTTTACTGAGATCCTCAGTTTAATCTCAGGACCTTTCTCCACTTAAAAATTATTGTCACCAAGCAGTATGGCATCTCCTGCAGTCCCAGGTATTTAAGAAGCTGAGGCAAGAGGGTCAATAAACCCAGGAGATCAGAGACAGCCTGGAAAACATAGCAAGATTCTCTCCCTTAAAAATTGTATATTCAAGGGCTGGAGAGATGGCTCAGTGGTTAAGAGCACTGACTGCTCTTCTAGAGGTCCTGAGTTCAATTCCCAGCAACCACATGGTGGCTCACAACCATCTGTAATGAGATTTGGTGCCCTCTTCTGGCCTGCAGGGATACATGCTGTATACATAATAAATAAATAAATCTTTTTTTAAAAAATGTATATATAATTAATTACCCAAAGAGCTTTGTTTATAACATATATAACTACTTATACAGCTAGAGAAAGATTTTTTTCAAGTTATTCAATAGATTTTAAAAATCATTTTAAATGTAAAACGTAATTGAACATGATATTCATGGGAATATCATTTTATGAAAAATAACTTGAAACAAAAGCTTCACAGCAAGTGAGGTATTGCATAGGTTTTCAAGTCTCTTAACATCTGGGTTAGCCAGTAGACAGCTATATTTTGATATATGCTTTCCTCTGTCAGTATATGATACAAGTTCTATGAATTCTGGAAAACTCTAGTACACCAATGAGAAGAGACAGAAGGCAAATGACAAGGCCTTCTTGGTATCTTCATGACAATGCTGAGTGCCATTTTGTGACAAGGACCTGGCTGAGAATCGCGTTTGGTGGCTAGTTGTTGGGTAAACACTAGAACACTTGCAGAGCTGGTTACCATGTCCCCGGGATACAAAGTTGTTCCACAGTGTAAGACTGCAGTTTTGTGCTCATGGGTTTCCTGAAGGGTCTCAGGCCCACTCTTCCATACTCGGAGACTTGATGTTCTGGAATGGATAAAAGACACTGACAAATGCTGAAATGCCTGGGTCTACTCCCTCTCTACTCTATGCCTCCAAATTGATGGGATTCCTGATGAGATAAACAAAGAAAACACTTCATTCATAAAACAGTAATTTATAAAAAAGAAAATTTTTTCAGCCCAGGCATTAGTGAAACACACCTCTAATCCCAGCACTCTGGAGTCAGAGGCAGGCGGATCCCTGTGAGTTCGAGGCCACCCTGGTCTACAGAGCGAGTTCCAGGACAGCCAGGACTCTTAACACAGAGAAACACTATCTCAAAAAACAAACAAGCAAGCAAAAAAATTCAGTGTTGTGATCACACCCAGAGTCTTGGATCTCTCAGATAAGCACTGTTCTTCGACTCAGCTATTGTCCTGCCCCAGGCTCCTTTCCTAAATTTGCATTGAAACTTAGCAAGGCCAAAAATAGTCTTTCAATTCCACAGACACAAATTTTGATAAATGCTTTTAAAGAAGAGAGAGACAGAGTGCCTGAGAGGCCTTTCTGCAGAAGTAACACTGGAGTCAAAACCTAGCTAATAAGAAGATAGCCACATGAAAAGGGGAAGAGCACACCCCCTGAGTTAGAAAGCGATGTCCAGGTTAAACGTTTATTTTGAGCAAGGAGTGTTGGCTCACACCTGTGGGCCCCGCTCACACCTGTGGGCCCCGCTCATACCTGTGGGCCCCGCTCACACCTGTGGGCCCAGCTCACACCTGTGGCCCAGCTCACACCTGTGGGCCCAGCTCACACCTGTGGTTCCAGCACAGCAAGGTGGAAGCAAGAGGATCAGGCAGTCAAGGCGATCCTCACACACAAAGCAAGTTTGAGCCCAGCTTCAGCTCTGTGAGACCCGGTCCCCAAACAACAATAGTATTTATTTACTTCTCTGCTTATTGCTTGTTCTTCCCACTAGGAAGAAGACTTCAAGGGGATACTCTTCTCCTTTCTTGTCTAGCAGGTACCTGGCACATTAAAAAATACACATGAAAATATTTTTGAACATGTCTATTACATTTGCGTTGTATATGTCTAATGTATTTGAATTGTATATGTATTATAGTTGACTATGTATATGAAAAATTGAAAAGCCATAGAGCATTGTGGGCAAAGGGGAGAATGGTCCAAAGTAAGTGAGAAAAACAGACTTCTAATCACAGGAGGTCTCACAGGCACGGGAAGGTGTGCCATGTGGGGAAGTATTTAAAGGAGCAGGAGGGGCATGTTTCACTTTATGTTTTAAGGCCACTTTAGCTACAGGGGAAGTGGCTGGAAGGGGGGCAATTGTAGAGGTCAAAGCAATTCGGCTTCTTTGGCTGAGAAATGAAATTAATAGCAATGGAAATGGAGAGGAGACAGGCAGTGTGTGTTTGCTAATAGCATTGACATGACTTGCTAATGGAATTACAGAAGGGCTTTTGTGTATAATGGTTCCCCTTACAAGTTTTCATATTTACAATGGTGTGAAAATGGTAGTGACCCAATTCTCCCGGAGTGTACATGGCTAAAAACAGAGAACAGCTTAGGGCTGTTAACAATGTTAAAATAAGTCCTTGTTGTAAGCGTTCCTTGTAAGTTTGCAGCAGAACTGTTGGCAGGGTTGGGTGGATTTTGACAACGGTCAGACCCTGCCTTTGAGTCCAGCTGCTACACGGCCATATCAACTCACCAGAATCTCTTGGAGTGATCCAAACAGACCACGTCTCTCCAAGCGAGCCCACGTGCACCCAGTCTCTGAGATCCTGAGCTGTAGTGGCAGGGAGCGAAAGGGCTTGGTGGGGTTCAAGGGCTGAGGAACAGGGGCCGGAAAGACGCTATCTGCGCACACTAACCCGCACAGCACATTTTGCATTTTATAAAGGGCATGCCATGCCTTTGTGAAGGGAGCCAAAGCACCGACTAGGGAGGGAACGGGGGCGGCAGGCACGCTTTAGAATCAAAGCCAGCATGGAACCGGAGGGGGGCGGGGCCCCAGCTAGCTCGCCCCCCCCCCCCAGCCAGGCCCCGCCCCTTCGTGCTTCAGCGTGCGGCGCACGCGCACCGGCTCCGACGGCTGGGGTCAGCCTCCACTGACGTCAGGACGCCCCGCTACTTACTTCAAGGCTCCCGGCTCTGGAGTCCCTCGCGGGCCGGGGCGGGGCGTCTGGCCAGCTGAGCTATTCCGGCTGACCGCGCCAGTTTGAATGAAAGCTCCGCAAGATGGCGGCGGCCGGAGCCGAGGCCGAGAGAGGTGAGGCGGGAGCGCGGTGTCCCCGGCCGCCAGGTCCGCTCCCGAGGCCCAAGCCCCGCCGGACGGCGAGGTGG